ATTAATAAAATATAATTATAGGAAAAAAACCCAAAAAAACAAAAAACAAAATGCAAGCCAGCTGACTGACTTCAAATCAACCTCCATTAGCTGTGCTTACTTTGGGAAGCTCTCCAGCTCTGATTTCCTCCCTTCAGTCCCAAGAGGCTTAGGGCGGAAAGGAGCAGGGAGCACCCATGTCATCTCCCCTAAACTATGGCCAAACCTCACAGACCAAATAACAATGGTCCCAACTCATCAAGACCACCATCACTAAATGGTGGTCATGGTCATGGTCAAGATTGCTCCTTCTCCTGTCCTTTAAAAGCATGCACTAAAGCATCTGCTTTAGGTAGCATGCAGGTTTGGGGTGCAGGGATGAACAAGGCTATCCGCTCTGTGTACAGTGTTCACCGACTAGTTGGGAAGACAGAATGAGGAAGAATAATAACCATACCACAGAGGGTTTGTAACCCCTCCAAATAGCAAGAAATCCAGACGAGGCTGTTAAGTTTCCAGGGCTATCAGGCCAACATCCGTCACCCCCACCCAGAGCCAGTGTGGTTATCAGCAGACAGAGATACACAGGTGGTAAAACAATAAATGATGGTGGAATAGAGAAATGGCTTATTTGAATGTGAAAGGTAAGCCTTCTCTTTATAGAGCATGCGTGAGGATATGCAATGAGCAATGAGCGTTCTCACCCACAATCAGCAGTCAGGTATGGTAAAAAAGGACTTTGGAAAAGGACAGGGACTGCTCTGTCTGGGACAGCTGGGGAGGAAGTGAAAATGGGGTTGGGGGGCTGGAATTCTGGGGCTATTGTGCTTGACAGAGCCAAGAGAGCAGACAAACTGCAGGAGCAACACAGGCCTATGGCACAGAGAACAAGAATGCAGGTGGGGGAAACAGATGGGGCCCCGGTTTGAATCCTAGTTCCACTTATCAGCTTGGACAAATTACTTAACAGCCAAGCTTTGGCTTCCTTGCCTTTAAAATCTGGCTAATAATAGTATTCACATTATAAGGTTGTTGGAAGGATCAAATTAGATAAGGCTTGTAAAAGCAGTTAGCTCTATCCCAGCACGTGTCTCTCACTTAATAAGCAAGCTAACAACAACAAAGGATGGCAAGGCATCCTGCTGCACGCGTGGCCCCTGGCACAACCCTATCTGTGTCCTTCACCACTTCCCTACCTCTTGTTGCCCCTGCCCCAGACAGTGTCTCTGGATCTTATCTGCCCCACTGTTCCAGAAAGTTCCCTAAGGCCTTGGAGCCAGTCAAGCAGTGCAGAGTGCTGCTCAAAGGTCATGCTCCTAATCACAGGTATCCTCCCCTGGGGCTGGGGGCAGGCAGAATTGCTCCTGAATATCCTTCACATGAGTCACCTGGTGAGCTGTGGGTGGGAACGGAGTGCCAGTGGTCTCTGCCGCTACCAGTTCACCAGGGTGGGTCTCCCAAACCCTGCCCAGTCTGTTGGTTCAAGGAGGAGAGATGCACCCTGAGGGTGGGGTCATGTCAGGCTTCTGGGTTGTCCCCTAGAGCCTGGAATACACAGTTAGAGCCAAGTGGGTGTTTGTTGAATCACTCCGGGGGAGCCCAAGCAATTCCTAAGGCCTGACTCAGAGCTCTCAGAGGGCGGTCAAATTTCCATGAGAGAACCCTGAAGAGGCCTTCTGCACTGAACGCCCTCTTCAGGGAAGCTGGGGAAAGGGTGCCACTTGTCAATGTTGGTTATCTGTAAAATGTTATATAACACACACATATACAGTTTACAAAGCATGAGAGATTGCACCCAAAGTTTACTGTAAACTGCAAAGAATTATGTGTACCTAAAGCATTTCTTCCTTTAAAGTAAATGTGCTGAGGGAGTCGGGAGAGGTACTATCTCCAAGCTACAGTAGGCTAGAATACAGCTACTGTAGAGGTTCTGGAAGTGGCCCAAGAACTCACTGGGCAGGAACCAAGGTCTTCCGACTACTATTTAGCACACTAAAATGTCCAACAAAAATTGCTGAGATTCCAAGTGCCTGGCTAGGGGCAGGGGTGTGTGTGTGTGTGTGTGTGTGTGTGTGTGTGTGTGTATGTAGAAAGAACCAGGCTGAGCCTCCTAGAGGGTCTGGAAGGGGAGAAGGGTAAGAAGGCCCAGCAACACTGTAAGACCACTTCCTGGATCTGTCCTGCGCTCCCCATGCCCCTCAGTCTATGCACTTCTTGACCCCCCCCCCCCCAGCTTCAGCTGCCACTTGGACCACACAGTTTGTGCTTCTTCAAAGTTGAATTTATGGCATCAATGACTCCAGAGCTGTAAAGCCAACGGCCTTCTTTCTGCTCACTTTCCACTTGGCAGTCTCCCAACACCTCTATAAAGTTCAAACGCTAAGTTCAAAGCTGAAACCTCCTTCCCTGCTCAGACACAGGAAACATAGCCCTTTCCCCCCAGAATTCCTGTGTCAGGGAGTAGCATCTTCTTCCACCCAAGGAAGGAGTCATCTTTGGTGTCTCCTCACGATCCCAGCCCATTACCCAGTTCAGGCTGTAAACTCTACATAACAAATAAAAGTCTCTCTGAAACTTTCTTGAAGGTTTTCAGACTTATCTTCCAGGAATTAGTACTCCTTGCAGTCATTACGGGAATCTATCAAAGATGCAAATCTGTACAGTTCCCTCTCTGCCTGGTTCTTCTCTGTCTGTATGAAATGCAGTCTAAGCTCTTTAACAAATTTCCCTATGATTTGTCCCTTCTACCTTTGCAGCTGCATCTCAGGTCTCTCCCTGCCTCAATTCTTTTAACCTGACTTCATTGTCAAGACACTTATGCAGTCACCCAAGAATCAGTTAAATGTTCTACTTAAGCCAAAAGAAAGACAAATCCAGTGTCCCAAGTCTATTCTGACTCATGGTGACCTCCCATCAGCTTGCCAAGGCCTTTCCCCCCCAATCTTTAAGTGAGGAGACTGCCCATCTTTCTCTAGCAGTGACTGGTGGGTTCAAACAACTGACCTTCAGATTAGCAGCCTAACATGTAATGCACTACACAAGGACAGCTACTGATTGTCGAACAAAAGGCTCTGCACTGGACTCCACAAGTTGTTACAGGTCATGTCTACATGTTGTACCTTGCACCCCTCTGCAGTCTCTGGGCTCACAGCTTTGTTGGTGCCATCTCCTTCCCCTGGACGCCTTTTTCCATATTACCTCTTATTCTGCAGCTTGTCCTTTAAGACTCAGTGTAGTTGTTATGTTTGGGCGGCCTCTCTTGATCATTTTCTCTCCTCTGCCCTTAACATTCAACAATAACACATAGAGAGCGAGTTTGCAACACATCTGTTAAGAGAAACTGAAGATGAAGGCAGAGTCTGGCATGCCGCATGACATACAGACTATGGCTTAGTGGTATGAAACTGTGCTGCAATCCTAAAGTCAGGCAGGTGGAATCCACCAGCTTCTCCACGGGAGAGGGATGGACACTTTCCTCCCGTGCAATTTACTGTCTCTGAAAATTCCCTGGAGGATCAGCTATGGGTCAGTTCCGACTCGATAGAAAACAGTAACAGTAATGCAAGAATTAGGAGGGAAACCAAGCTCCACGTCGGCGCTAGGACCTTGCCTCATTAATCCCCGAGAAGACAGCACAGCGCCTGCGTTGGGTGAAAACAGCTAATTCTGGCTCTCGGGCGCCGCCTGTCGCGATTGTGCCGCCACTGCGAATCCTTTTCCGACTCCTCACCCCGCCCCAGCCCTGAACCCGCCTCACGTCTCCCATTGGGTATCTCCGGTTCTCCCGCCCCTCTGGCCTCAGCCATTTGGAGCCTGCTGGGGGTGGGGCTTGAGGCTGGGTGGAGGCTGCGCCCCTGTTGGCATTGCTGAAGGTGGTGACGTGGCCGAAGGATTTCTGTTTGTGCCTAAAACTGTGCAAGGTTGAGGTTCCGCCACATCAAGCCTAAGACTGGTGGTAGGACGCCCAGAGTAGGGCAAGCTTGGATCTTCCGGCCGGAAGCGGAAGTAGAAGAAAGATGCAGGCGGCGGTACGGTAGCAGGGAGGATGAGGGAGCGGCCTGGGACCCTTAGAAGATGTCCAACTTGCCCCTCACTGACTTGTTACCCCACCCTGGCTCGTGGCCTCGCCCCCTGCGACCTATCCCGATTCATTGTCCCAGCCCTGCAGGGTGGCGGTTGGGACCATGAAATGAGCGCGCGAGTGGTGCGTCCTCTGTCCTCGCTTACACCCCCCTTTCCCGCTGTGTTTCCTGTTAGGACCATCAACATGTGCCCATCGACATCCAGACCAGCAAGCTGCTCGGTAGGAAGGGGTGCCTCGCGCAGCCTGCTGGCAGGGGCGGCGGGAGGTCCGATTCTTTCCACCCTGTCACCCAACAGTTTTGGCTCTTGAAGGTTGAGGCACTGACAACTAGTCAGGCCAGGTTTGGTGGCCCATCTGTTACCAGTACTCCCTCAACAATGAATCAGAGTCTGTATTTGACCTGGGATTTATCTTTTAAAATGTGATATCAAATCATATTCAAGTATGGAGAGCCTAAGACTTTCATTAAAGATACCTATTAAGTGGCGACCAGAAGTTGGAACTTAAATTTGCCTGGCCTCAATGTCATATCTTTTTACATTATGACAGAAGAAAACTTTTCCTTATTTCTTTTGACAGGCTTTCATCTCTTGACCTTGTCGTGGTCAGCTTGACTCCCACTGCTTATATCGTCTACATATTTCTTCCCAGTTCAGATCAAAAGAAGGATCCCTTCACTCTGGTGCAGGCATTTGCATCGCTTTTGCCATTTTTATTTTGTTGAGATTTTAATCAAAGCTGTTGCCGTTTTTTAAATGCTCATTGGATTGGTCCATCTGCTGTGTCAGTATTGTCCTTAAGAGTGGAGGGACAGCGCAGGAGGGGAAGACCCTCTATGAGGTGGATTGATTCAGTGACTGGGGTACTCGGGATGGGTGTGTCAGAGGCCATGAGATTGTCGCAGGATAGAGCAGGGTTTAGGGCTGTTGTACATAGGGTCGCTATGAGTCGCAAACGACTCGACGGCACATAACAACAACAACCTGGTGATATCTATAGAATTCCAATTTCTGAAGAAACTTAAGAAATAGGGGGATGGAAATATAATTGATAGCACTACTGGACCCCAGTATTTGTCCAGTGGGCAGATTTAGTTAATGAAGGGCATGGTCTGGAATTCTCTATGTGACCATTGGTCAGGCCTGTGCAGTGGCCCCTGCTGAGCATAGTTAGCTTCATTGCAACCTGTCAGAGCTCTTCCACACGAGTGAGTGCATTTTAGTGTGTTTACTTGCTGTTATGAAAAGGACCAACAAAACAGCCACAGTGCGTTGTGTTGTAAGTACTGTTGTTGTTAAGCGCCGTCAAGTCGCAGGTGACTCATAGCGACCCTATGAAGGAGAGTCCTCGACGCTTGGGTGTCTCTCATCCTCTCTCCAGGTTCATGGGGTTTCCGGAGACAAGCTATTACGGAAGTGGATGCCACTCCTACTTCCAAGCTTGTTTTAATTGGGGAGTTCTACCGGACTCTCTGTCCACATTGGGTAACCAGCCATTAACCCATTTGACACACATCAGTGTCACAGTGTTCAGCCTCAAAGCAACCACAAGTTAGTGCTGTACAGCAACTTGTACACCAGGGCTATATGACCTAGAAGAATGTCTGAACAAAAAACAAAGACTGGTGTAAGTGCTGGACATTATAAAAATGAGAATTTAAGATTTGAGCCCTTGCCATGTGCTAAACACCAATGTTTATCAATGAATGTGTACGATTTCTTGTATTAGATATTCTTATCATCCCCCTTTTACATATGGAGAGACTGAGGCATAGAGAGGTTGAAAGGCTTGCCCAAGAAAACAGAGAATTGGAACCTAAGACCTGACCATAAAGTCTAGCTCCTAGCCATCTCCTACTGAGGAAATGATACATAACCATGTTGTTGGTTGTCATTGAGTCACTATTCCAACTCATAGGGACCCCAAGTGACAAAGTAGAACTGCCTTTCTCTTCTTTTTTTAAAAAATATGAAATGCTTCATGAATTTGCATGTCATTCTTGTGCAGGGACCATGCTAATCTTCTCTGTATCCTTCCAGTTTTAGTATATGTGCTGTCAAAGCGAGCACAGAACTGCCTTTCTTGGTGGTAACTTTATGAAAGCAAATCACTGTGTCTTTCCCATAGAGCCACAAAATGGTTTTGAACCAACAACCTTTTTGCGTGCTCGACAGTGACATAACCTGGAGCCTTGAACCATCTTGTACCTTCTACTAAAAGTCATAAATCTGGGCTCAAACTCCAGGAGACTGGTTACCTTGGTCTTCTCATATGCAGGGTGACGCTTCACTGTTAAGCATAAGTCAGTATTTCCTCATCCTTGGGGTGCTAGAGCTATTAGGGGCTCTACAGTTGTTCATTCATCCAGTAGTTAGCATAGCCATCTTGTATTTCCCATTGTCTTGGTTAATCTCAGCCTGGAGGAAGTGGAACTGAACAGCAGCGAGAAAGAGAACCAAAAATACTATGGAGACTTTAGAGTGTCAAAAGTGGTACTTTCATAACAGGCCCAATTTAAAGTTTTGTTTTTTATTTTTAAAAATCCCTATCAATGTAGTGGCTCTATAAAATTCACCCTGAGGGTTAAGCCAGGTTATTGGAGTCTTTTTTAGCCTTAAGCATCCCTTTGGGTCTGTCTTTGACTACCATCTCCGTTGGACCACTATGGAGAAACCTCCCAGTCAACTCCTCAGCCGATTCCAGTTGGGTTGTTGTAGATTTTGGCAGTGAGAGTGGGATACCATGATGTGGGTGTTTGTCATGTAGACTGGCTGGTGGACAGAAGGCACTGCAACTTGAAATGGCAGAGCCTGGTGCTGACCATCCGGGAGAAGATCAATGCTGCCATCCAGGACATGCCAGAGAATGAAGAGATTGCCCAGCTGCTCTCGGGTTCCTGTGAGTTCTTCGAGGCTGTGTCACTGGAGTTCCCCATTTCCCAGAGCAAAATGTGTCAGCTGAGTTACTCCCCTGTTACCTTAAAAAGTTATTTTTTTGGTATAGATTAAAAATACTAGTTTCCCCAGAGGTGCATGGTTTGAATCCACCAGATGCTCTGCTGGGAGAGGAGGGACAATCTCCTCCTGTACCAGTCAGATCTGATTTGACGGCACACAGACACACAAAATAATAATAAAATAAAATAAAAAATACTAGTTTCTTCCAATGCAAAATAGTGCGAGGGGAGAGCCTTGCATGTGAACAGTTACTGCAGGTCCCATGAGTCAGCCACATGACCATTGTCATGGTCAGAGTCAGTGGGAAGAGTTCAAATTGGGATTCTCAAAGCTGTCTCTCTTCCTTGTTTTCCAGACATTCACTACTTCCACTGCCTAAGAATCGTGGACCTTCTCAAGGGCACTGAGGCCTCCACGAAAAATATTTTTGGCCGATACTCTTCACAGCGCATGAAGGCAAGTGTGGACTGAGGGCTAGAAAGAGGCTGCTAGCGGCATCCGGTCTGTGGGGTTAGAGCCTCTCGTTTCTCTGAGGATCTGGTGGTAGGAGATGCCAGTCCCTGTAGTTTATGCCAAAAGTAGATCCTACCCCTTGGGTTGAAATTTCCAGATCTGCCACTTTGTAGGTCACATCTTGGCATCACTGTCTTTTGTTGTTACTGGTTTGCTTACAAAGTTCCTATACATTGTGCTTCATACAATCATTCCTATTTATTATGTTTTATAAAATTAATCAACATTGGACTATGCCCACCATTGCCCTGTCTTTCCAGATCCCCACCGGATCTTTCCCATTTCCTTTACGCACCCCTCCTTCCATGCATCAGGGCCATACTCTTCAAAGTGGGTGGGCCAACCAGTTTAGGAGTTGAAGGAGGACAAGGAGTTTATATTTAAGTGACACCTGGGAGACCATCCCGTATTCAGGGATTGAGCTAGGCTGTGTCTGCTCACTGCTTGCTTGGCTCACTTCTTGTTTCTTTTCTTACCTAGGACTGGCAGGAGATTGTAGCTCTGTACGAGAAGGACAACACCTACTTAGGTAGAGTGGCCCAGCCCTGTGACTAGGGGTAAATCCACTCCCGGAGTTCTTATAGAAGATGCAGCTGGTGTCTGGGAGGAGGCTGGAGTGTAGGTACTGCTTGTGAGGTGGGAAAATGCTTTCTACAAAGAGTATTATTGGCAAGGAAGAGGGAGCAGAGTGGATGGGTGTGAGTAGGTGTGCGAGGTTGAGGGGAGTGCCCCACCGCCATTCTATAGGCAAAGGAGGCCTGTGTCTTCTTTCTTTCGTTCTTTTTTTTTTTTTTAGGCCTGCGTTTTCATGGTGGCCTCTCTTCAGCTACTGAAGGGGAGCATTTAAAGTGCTTGTTATTGTTTTGTTTGTATTGGTTTTATTGTGTACCACCAACCCACAGCTGACCGTCCAGCAGGTTTTTAGAGGCAGTTAATCACACAGGAGAAGATTGCCCATCCTTCTCCCAGGGAACAGCTTGCAGATTCGAACTGCGTACCTTCGGGATTGCAGCTCAGATTCTTACCACTAGGCCACTGGAACCTATTATTGTAGTTAGGCTTATTTTTCAGATGGGACAAATAATAAGAATAGCAGCCAGCATTTTACTGAGCAGCTACTCTAAGTAAGGAGTTTTGCTTGATATTTTGTGTGAATTCTTACTCTTCACAGTAGATATTATGGATCCTGTAATATTATTGTCCCTGTTTTATCGATGAACTCTGGACCAGGGAGGTCAAGTGACTGATTGTAGGCTCCACAGCTAGGAAGGGGTACCTGGGAAGCCTGCCCGTGCCCGTCACCAGTACTGGGGTGTATATCCATGTGTGTCCTGAGCTTGCCTCACGTGGAGTTGGCCTGAGCTGGGTTTCCTGCATCCTCCTTAGTGGAGCTCTCTAGCCTCCTGGTGAGGAACGTCAACTATGAGATCCCCTCGCTGAAGAAGCAGATTGCCAAGTGCCAGCAACTCCAGCAAGAGTACAGCCGCAAAGAGGAGGAGGGCCAGGCGGGGGCCGCCGAGATGCGGGAGCAGTTCTTCCACTCCTGCAAGCAGTACGGTATCACGGTGAGTCAGCAGACAAGTCTCATCACAGTGGGGACACACGGGGGGTGTCTGCCTGCCTGGAACCAGCACAGTCTAAGAGGACCTGTGGGGGCCACTCTGCACCTAGCTCCTTCGCTGCTGGGAAAACCTCCTCTGGGCTGGTATCTGACCTGTCTGCTGTCTTTCAATATTTTCTTTCATCTGTTGGACCTACTTTCTGCCTCTCCTCTCTCAGCCTGTCTCTCCTCCATCTAGGGAGACAACGTCCGAAGAGAACTTCTGGCCCTGGTGAAGGATCTGCCGAGTCAGCTGGCTGATACTGGGTCAGGGGCCCAGTGCCTGGGGGAAGCCATTGACTTATACCAGGCCTGTGTGGACTTTGTGTGTGAAAGGTAAGGAGGGCCTCAGGTTCTCTGGGAGGCACAGTTTACCTGCTTCCCTGGCTATTCTCTCTTCTCCACTTATATTTCCCCCACATAGCATGCGATCTTTATTTAACACACTTCAATTCCGTGAGAGTCTTGCGTTTTTGACGTTGTCACCCAGGCCAAAGCACCGTGGTGGGTTCATGAGTGGTCAGCGGGAAGGTCAGCTGTGTGATCTCTTGAAGCCCCACAGAGCAGGTGTTGCCAATGCTGAGATTCGTGCAGAAGAAAGGAAACTCGACCGTGTATGAGTGGAGGACCGGGGCGGAGCCATCTGTGGTGGAGCGGCCACACCTTGAGGCACCCCCTGAGCCGGTGGAGGAAGACGCGGTAAGACATTGCTGTGAGGCACCTGCATCATCGGCATGAGGGCATAAGTGGCTCCTTCCTTCCCACACACTCGGTCCAAATGCCCACAGTCTGAACTCAGATTCCCAGGAGGATGAGAAGGGGGGTTTGTGTGGGAGCACTTAGGAGGAAGGGCCTTTTGGGATCCGAAGATAGATAAGGCTCAGCAAGCTTGAACCAGGAGTCCTTAGGTCACGCACCCTTTCCAGAGGAAGGCTTTCTTTTTTTTTTTTTTTTTAATTTTGTGTACGTGTACCGTCAAATCAGATCTGACTGGTACAGGAGGAGATTGCGCCTCCTTCTCCGGCAGAGCGTCTGGTGGATTCGAACTCTGTTCCTCTGGGATTGCAGTGCAGTTTCTTGTCACTAGGCCACCAGAGCTCCCCTGGAAGGCTTTCTTTTGGGAGTCTTGGAGGCCATTGCATGTGACCATAGTCTCAGCTCTCTTAATAAGTAGTTAAGGACTGTGGAGAGACAGGCCCCTTTTTTTCTTATCCACCTTCCATGAACTAACATTTCCCCCCACCTTCTAGATTGACTGGGGTGACTTTGGGGCAGAGGCGGCTTCTGAAGGAATTGACTATGGCATCTCTGCTGACGCTGCTGGAATTGACTGGGACATCTCATTGGACTCAGACTCAAAGGTTAGGATGCACTCGGTCACTTCCCTGAGGACTTTGTGTAACCATTGCCTTGGGGATAAGAAAAGTGCTGTGTCCTTAAAGGCATCACTTGAGGTTTTAGCTCTAAAAGCAAAGGGACCTATCCAGGTTTTGACTCTTTCTGTCCTCATGTTTGAGGCAAAGTGCGGGAGTCTAGGCAAGTGATATTTTTTTTTTTTTGCCTTTCATTTTTTATTATTTTATCATTCTCATGCATTATGTTTTATGCATGTACATTGTGTTTTATATACTCTTTCATTTACATTATATTTCTTTTTTTTTCTATAATTA